TTTAATTATTTCTAAGAATGATTCATTTATTTTTAATTCGTTTTCTTGTAAAAAGTTTGAAGTCAATGAAAAACATGTCAAGTCTTTATTGTCGACGCTTTCAATGTAGAATGCTTGTTAGCGCATGAAGTGCTCGCAATAGTTTTGAGCAGCTTGGGCGCAACTTGAATTTTTAATAATAATTAATAATTAACAAGAAAAATAAAATAATTGTGAACTGTATAATTGATATAATAAATTTAATTGATACAAGAATAATAATATAATAATAATAAAGATCACAGCCAGTTGTAATTTATGTTAAAACAGTAATAATAATAAATTTATAATAATAATGGCAATGCAAAAACAATAAATGGTAAATAAATAAATGAAATGTGTGGTCCACGGCACACACCAAATAATAAAAATAATACAAGTGTTGGCCCTACAGCGGCACAACAATAAATATATAAATAAAAAATATCAAATAAATACAATAAATAATTCAATAATAATGGTAAAAATATAATTTGGCACTAACACGGAGCGCAAATAAATAATTTAATACGTGGCCCACACGGCGCACACAAATAATAAGAAATTTATAATAATTTGCCTACGACGGCACACCGCAGTGATACAATAAATATAATATGCGCCTATGACGGCAATACAAAAGCTCTATATATATATATAATATAAATAATATGCCTACGACGGCTGAGGCCCGTCGGCCTTTAACACAATGAAACAAATATGGTCGACCAATACTCACATTAATATGTGACTATGTTGAATGGCTGATTGCATCCACGCGACCGCACCAACCCTGTGACTAGACAAATTACTTAGACGGCACACCGCAGTGTATATGTGAATAAAATTAGTCACAGAATTGGTACGTGCGACCAACCAAGCACAGTCACCACGAAGATAGGTCTACAGCGCAGACGAAGACAATACGAATGAAAACCACGTTAATCACAACTGGCTGTTGGCAAGTGACCACCCTAGAACATGGTACTATAAATGATAGGCAATGACAATTGCGCAGAACGCCACTTACCAGACAGCCGACACGAAACACAAGAAAACACTGAAAAACGTGGTTTGAACAAAATAGCTGCAGACCGATACACGAAACACGAAGACACTTCAGGTGATGTGTATACCACGACGCAAAAAGGAAGACAGAAAATTGGTGCCGACGACATTTACCACGAAGGCTTTGGCCACCGGACACCACAACGAAGATAAATGTCTCAGTGCCACCACACTAAACCAAAAATACACGAGAACTTACGAAACTTTGGCACTGAGAACATGACTTTTACTTTTACAAAAACATAACCGACAATATGAAAACGTGGAAATAACGGGCATTTTCGTACGACGATAACAATGCGATTACGTAACCCGACCGGTCGCGCACGGAGGCTTATCACCGCCGCCGACGACGGCCGGGGATACGCAACGCACCGCTATACATCGCACGAAAATGATAACATAAATGACAATTAAACACAACAATGCTATTTTTTTCTTTAGCGCAAAAATTTTATCATTAGCATCAAATATTGTCTTTTGTTTTCCTTGGATAGATGTGCTAAATTCATTCATTTTTGAAAAAATATCTGCCAAGTAACATAATTTGCACAACCATTCCTGGTCATTCAAATAATCTGCTAGCAAACTATTATTGTCTTTCAAAATTGAAAAAACTTCCGTTCGAAGTTCAAGTAAGCGGGACAATGCTTTATCTCACGACAACCACCGTACTTCTGTGTGTAATAACAATGACTTGAATAAAGCTCCCATATCTTCACATAGTATTTTGAGCAGTCTACACTGCAAAGGTCGTGTCTTAACATGGTTAATAATTTTAACGGCGTTGTCAAGCACTTGCTTTAATAACACTGGCATTTTTTTCGTTGCGAGGGAATGTCGATATAATACACAATGACTACTCGTGCAATTTGGTGAAACTTTTTTGATCCTTGCAACAACGCCAGCAACATTACCTACCATGGCCTTTGCGCCATCTGTGCACACGTCAATGCAATTGTTCCATGGTATTGAGTTTTCAATGAAAAAGGCATCAAGCATAGAAAAAATTTCACTTGTTGAGGATGGAAGTGGTTTGCAGAACATAATATCTTCATGAAAAATACCAGAAAATTCGTACCGTACAAATGTCATCATCACAGCTAATCCGGCGACGTCCGTAGATTCGTCAAGTTGTAACGAAAATTTTGTTTGACCGATACGAGAAATTATGGTGTCTTTAACCTCGTGTGATAAGTCCTGAATTCGACTACGCACAGTATTATTTGATAAAGGTATACTTGAGATCATAGTCGCAGTTTTTTCATCGGCCATACACTTCACTACTTTCACTAATAGTGGTTTTATAAGAGTTTCAGCGAGGGTGTACGGTTTGCCAGCAAGACCCAATTCATAACTAAGTACGATGCTTTCAGTGATTTTTCGGAATGTGTCTTTCCATGAGATATAAACGTTTTCTGAGTTGCATTGAGTTCATCACTTTTTCTTTTGAAATAGTCTGCAGTTTTATTTGTGAAGTCAGGATGAGTTTCAAAATGTCGTCTTAGCTTAGCAGGGAACATTAAGCTATTAGGCAAAACTTTGTTACTTATCACACACTGAGGACGCCCATCTGAAAATTCAGTGAATCCCATGTCTAAATATGAATCGTCATATTTTCGTTTTTTGTTTCCTTTCAGATTTTCTACATCAGGTATCGTAGACTCTAAAACATTTTTGCTACAACAATTGATATCTTCCTTTGATTGATCAACAGTTGTTGGCTTTCGATTTTCAGGTCTTATGGAGCCCGTTTTGAACCACCGTTCCATTTCAGTAAAGTAGAAATACACTGAGTCGTTCGTAAATATGCCAATTAAAACAATAAAAAATGAAAAATTGAATCAAAGAAAAAATACACGTCCGTTGTTCATAAATACGCACAATAAAATAACAAATTCACCGGATTAAACAAAATAATCACATGTCCGTCGTTCGTCAATTTGCGCGATAAACTGATAAAATAATTTAGTAATTGAGAGTCAAACCTTAATTAAATGGTAGAAATTATCCAGTTTCTATATTTACTAGTATTATCTAAATTCTAAAATTAAATAATTGTACACAATTTTCTTATCGGGATTTTACATAGTAGGTTGGCGTCATATCGGTGAATTATGTCAAGTTGAGTGTTGACGAGATTTTTATGAAATATATATTATTAAATTATATAAAATTATTAAATGTTTGTGGTGTAACGAACGGAGCCCTTGGGAAAGCACAGTTACAGTTACTTGGAGCACAGTTTGGGAACCGCTGTCTTAGACGGTTCGGTGAATGCAAACAAATTATATTTTATCATACTATTTTTATATTAGGTATAATATAATATCATAAGGTCCTATTATTCCAAACCGATATTACTGCTCGCACGTAAGCAGGTGGTAGCTAGCACACTGCGTAATACCATTGATTATACTAGTATTTATAATCAATGGTAATACATATAGTAAAAATACGAAAATTTTATCAAAATAAAATTTAAACTTAAATTATTTTGAACTTGGCCTGAAATAAAAGGCCCCTTCGGGGCCTTCAATATTTCAGGGCCTGGAGCCCGGGCTCCCAGGCTCCGTGCTTAATCCGGCCCTGATTGTATATTGTACAATTGTAACTTGTAACGTTCAATCAAAATTATGGTATCAGTGTGTGAGTTCTATTTTTGCAACTGGCCGCCGTGAATTGCCACGAGCACATAAAGATTTCCTGGCACACCACTACTAGATCCAACAACTAGATAAGTCACACGCGACAGGCACTACAGAGTTCAATAAAAGATCATGAAGCTAATCAATAAAATATAAATACATTTTCAAATAAAATACAACAAAATAAACAATACCTAAAATCGGTTTTTGTAACGCAATATATGACCACCATGTACGTATCATTAACAAAATTAACAAACTCTTTTTGTTTTATAAATAACTATTTTTCATACAATCATATTTTTGATTAATGCCAATTCACGTGAATATACTAAAAAAAAATAATTCACGTAATCATGTGAATATGATTCAGATACGTGCTCAAGCTCTCGTTGATTGCCTTGTATTAACCATACGTGATTTATTTTGATTCATTCACGTGATCATGGTATACGTGAACACGTACATTAATATCTACGTACAAAAACGAGACCTCTAGTGTCGAGATTTACTAAATGAATAAATTAAAATTATATAAAAAAAATAAAAATATTAATAAACAAATAGGTAGTGCTTTCACTGGATGGCTTCCTCCCTCACGCTTTCATGTACAAAATATTATATCACATATTCTTATTGTGCTTAAGGGTACAGATTGTATGTTTCTTGTTAAATAAAAAAAAAAAAATTATAATAAAAATAAATAATACACTAACTGATTTTTTTCTACTATTAATACATAATATAATATAAATTAATTATTTCAAATTTAAAGTTATTCTAGTTACATTATAATTTACATTTAAACTTTTTTACAATAATAAATCAATTTTATCAACAATATTTTCTTATCTCAATAGGCAAATTTGAATAGCGCAATTAGTACATTGACCTAAACAAAAAATTATTTTTTAGCGCAATTGGTCCATGTCCAAATAATTTTATCACACGTAGGCGATTTGTTAAACGTCAGCCGTGGAGACTCATCCTCAGCCAGTCTTCGGTTGATGCATACGAAGTTTTTGACAGAGATAAATGCTCATAATGCAATGAAGGAGTCTGTTGACCAATGGGATAAACTGTTAATTGGAATAATGGTATGGAAACTTGATGATAAGATATTAGATGTGACGAATGAATCTTCGCAGGAAAAAATTGTTTGTGTCCGTATATAATATTACCTACATTTAGCCCCTTTTTTGCAGCTTTCAAAATGTGATAACATTGATAAAACAATAACATCATTTTTATTATAATAATTTTATATATTACTAAATTTAAATTAAAGCAGTTAAATAAATTTAATAATACACAATTTGAAAAAAAAACACAATATTCTCTTACGATCGTCATTTTAAAGGTACAATTCAAAAGTAATAAAATATATAACATTTTTATTACTCTCATATTTCTCCATACCTCTAAGTTCAAAGTACCATATTTTAATTTTTATTAAACGAGAAGGACAATGAATTAATTGTAAGGTATAACAATACTCAATTATGGCACCAAAATAAAATTGGTAAATTAAGGTTTACTACAGCTGACAGAGAAAAATTGGCAGGTAGCTTATTTTATTTTATATAATACTATACTACCATCTATACTGGTTCCTATTCAAAGGGTATTAAATGATGTCCAGGATTCTGTGGAAGAAACAACATTGAGATGTTTATAGAATGAATGTTATGGGCCAAATAGTTAGTAAAATGTATTAATAATCCAATTTTGTATTTTAAATACTGTGCAGGATGATTAAGGAAAAATTTAGGAAAAAAATGATTTTTGTATTTAAAAATTACTAAATCTGTATTAATGGGACCCATTTGAATTTAAAAAAAAAAGTTTAAACTTTAAACAGTTAGGTACGATTTTATAACAAAAATAAAAATATTAAATCTAATTATAACATTTATATTATATTTTCGCTTGAAGTATTCGCAATGAATTGTGTATTAACTATTATATTTATTTAATTATTAATGTATTTAACTATTTTAATTTAAATTTAGCAATACATATATAAAACTATTATAATAAAAATAATGTTATCGTTTTATTAATGTTATCACATTTTGATAGCTGCAAAAAAAGGGGCTAAAAGTACGCAATATTATATACAGACACAAAAAATTTTTTCCATTCGTTAGATGTGTGGGAATTATGATTAAAGTCTTCAATTTTACCAACATAACGCTGTCACGTTTTTATTTTTATTTATATGGCGACCTGTTATTGCGTGTTGCTCGGTGAATGGGAAAAATAATATTATTACGTAACTTTAAAACGATAATACGATTATTAAACTATTCAAATAATATATTTCTAGATTAATATTTTGTTTATTTTTTTACTTAAATCCTTCCGATATATTTTAATAGTTATTCTGCTATTCGGGGCGGAGACAAATCCAACAAATCAGAGATCATTAAAATCAGTCCATTCATTATTGAGTTATAAATGGTGTAACTAACCCGACTTAGTTTTATTTATATAGAAAATAGTATTTAAGATGGAAGGATAGGATAGGATATTCTAAATATAAAGGATTTGATAGAACTTCGAATAGAGAATCGGGAAGAATTGGCAAGGGACAGTGGCCGGTGGAGGTAAGTGGTTGTTTCGGCAATTGGCCTAAATGGCATGTAAAACACCTTAAAGAAGAAAAAAATAATACTAACCTTAATTGTAGATATTTTTGGAAATACATAAAAACTCTCAAGTCCATTGACGTAACTAGACCACTTGAGGCCCGTGTGCGAATCAAAATCTTGAGACCCTAATCATCAAACGCTTTTGAGCATTTGACCTTTTGAGGCCCCATAATACATAGTTTAAAGCTCGGTGCCCGTGTGCTAGAGCTCTGCCCGGTCCGTTATTTTAAAGGCCAGACTGGACTTCAAATTTTTCCAGGGGACCGAAGTCGGACCGGATTACAATTAAACGTTAATGAAAGACCAAAATTGGACCGAACCGACGGCTTCATATTATTTTTAGACCTAACCTAACCAATAATTAAATAACATTTAATGAAGTAGACCGTCAGTCCGTTCTTAAAACATTTTGGACCGTTTATGGACCGGTCCGTAAGGTTCAGTCTGTATTAGCCCAGACCGTACCATATGATGCGTTTAGTATTACACTGGACTGGACTACCCGACTTTGTAAATAAATATATACCTAAATTTGTAGGTTTTTTTGTTTTATTTGTTTACATAATAATATCTGTATTTTAAGTTCCATGATTGGTACCAGACTGAGACCAGACTGGACTGAAAATAATACATTTGATCTGAGGACTGGATCGAACTATTCCTAAAAATTATTGAACCGGACCAAACCGATGATTTAATAGTTTTTGTATGTTAGGACCGTACTAGACCGGACTATGCAGAGCACTACCGTATGCAATACACCTTCTGCAAGTGCTCAAGTCCAATAAATCAAATATTTTGTCTTCGGTTACGTTGGAAGGTATGTTGCTGATAATATTGAGAATGCAATTTTGTTATTTACAAACTATTTTTCTTCTATGTATTCTAGGGTGACTATATTTATGAAAAAGAAAAAAACGGAACAAATGTTCTCTAAAAAAAGACCACATTTTTTTTAACTTCTATATTATATGCAATAAAAATAATTTTTAATTAGCTTAATATTTTAATTAAACTGATTTGCATTCTTTTTTTGCTGTGAGATTGAAAAAAATTACTTAAAATATTATTTATTTTTATTGAATTTATGTCGATTGTTCATAATTTTTTTCATTACATCCTTTGACATTATATTTTTTTGATAAACTGATTGCATTTAATAGTTTTGGTTGTGTTAACAAAAAATCATAAAAATCATTACAGAAATATTTTTTAAAATTCTTTTTAAGAATTATTATTGCGTTGACAGTTAGTACGAGAAAACGATTTTTTTCTTCCGTTCATAAAATATCTGTGATTGAAAATAACTGCATTAGTTAATCTGCAAAGGTACAGTGAACGTATATTTTCTTTTAGGCATTTTAAAAAAACAATAAAAGTGATAACACTAACGATTCACAGTAATTTAAATAAAAAGGACTGATACATAGTGGCTATAACATTAATAACACAAGATCGTTACAATGTACACACGTTACTGCTCGACCAGGGGCGGATCTGAAGCTTGGTTTAGGAGGTGGCGAATAGGAATATTTATGAGTGATTTATATAAAACAAAATGAATTCTTGATCGTGATTTCAGCAATTTAAGGAAAAATAAGTACAACGTTTATATTCACTGTAGGTATATCTTTACTTATAATTATAAAAATTTTAATACTGAAAAATATTTATTACAATAATAATTTAACATTTCTTTTTTTTTCATTCGCAAATCTATTAATAACATTTTCTATATTTACAACTATATCTTTATGCGTGTGCAATAAAGCCAAGCCAGTGAGTCGACTTTCGCCCATCCGTGATCTTAACTATGTTTTTAATCTAAAAAGTAATAACAATAGAAATAAGCAAACATGCAAAGCATTTTGGAATTTGTATGCAAATGTTTTCATCCTTACATTAAAAAGCAAAATTTTTATTTTTATCATTAAGATTTAAATTCTACATGTAACAACAATAAAAAAAAGCAAATAAATTAATACAAGTTTTATCCTGGGACATAAAATATTTGATATTTTATCAAGTTTCTAATTAGTTATCTGACCTGCGTAAAGTTGAAAAGCTGTGTTCAGCAAAAGCAGTACTAATTGGTAAAGTTGCAAGTATACAAAGCAAGGATTTAATTGTTGTGAAGATAATCTCACAACATGCATCCAAAGTATCAAAAATATTTTTTGGTAATATATCTCCAAAAATATAAAAACAAAAATTAAAAAGCTAAATATTTTTTAAAACTGAACATTCATTGTTACCTTTTAACTCTAATTTTTTCCATTTTTGTATCCACAACTCAAATTCTGAATTTAATAAGTCATTATTGATCTCTTGAAAAAATGGATATTTATTTTTAATGTGTTAAATAATAATCGAGCTACTATTAGTCTCAGACCATTTAATTAAATTGTTTGGTATTAGATTGGTTAGCAATTTTACTGTCTGATTTTCTTGGCCATAAAATCTTTTCTTTAGGTCGTATATTACAGAGTCTAAGAGTGGAATTAAAATTGTGACTCTAAAATAGTCTTCACAATTATTTACACTACTCGGATTTGATCTATTTTTTTGATGAGCTGTAATCCTAGGCATTTTCAAATTTATGTCCAACTCATCCATTAGAATTTTGCATTCATTATAAATATTTTGAAATGTGTTATTACAGTTTATGCGATTGTTTTAAAGTACACTCGCTATATAATCTATAACATTACTAGCTGATAATATATCATAGTTTATTCCTCGTAATAATTTACTAGCATGGTATGTAACTGAGAGAATGGACGATAAAGAATATATTGAAATAACAAACTTACAGTTACTTATAGAGCATAACAGTGTTTTTCCTTTAGAAGATGAAGATAAGTCATCCCAGTTAGTTATCTCTGTTAAAGCATCAATAATTTTGGGTAATGAATTTTTAAATTGCAAAACACTATCATGCCGCTCTATCCAGCGTGTTTTACATAAACTAACAACATTATTCTTTAATACGTTTTTAAAATAAAATAACGTTTTGGTGAACTATTAAAAAATGTTATTATTTGTTGCATGATACAATACTACTTCTTATGGCTTGTACTGTTGATGATTTTGAAATAGATAAGTTGAGTGCATGATTATGACAAGGACTGTATACTGAATTTTTAGCTGATTTTTGAACGTGTTGAACGGCTTCTTTTATAGTTGATATCATTGTTGTACAACCATCAGTTGAAATACCAATACAATTATTGAGATCTAACTTTAGATCATGTAAAATATTTATAACTGTTGTTTCTAGTGTTTCTCCGCTCAATTTAGGTTCAATTTGTTTGGATATATTTTCTAAATTCTGATCATCATCATCATCATTTTCATCACTATATATTTTTTTATGACAGTTAACAAAAGAAATAAAACGTTCAAAAACTTTTCCAGATTTTAAATAGCGTACACTATAACTCATTTGAGAAATTACTGAAACATCAGTTGTTTCATCAAACATGATGCTGTAATATTTTGCTTCTTTTATCTTATTTGTTATAAAAGTAGTAATTTATTTTCCAAAACACTGAATTAAGCTGTTTTGTAGGGGATAATTTATATATGTAGCATTTTTAGAAGTAGACATTAGATGATGTTCAAGATTTTTATCGCCAGCATCTATTCTGAATTTAAGAAGTTCCCGAAAATTTCCTTGATTAGTTATTGACTTAGTGTTTGAACTAAAATCTAATGACATATTTGGAGATGAAAGTTGGCCATCGTCCCTGTGACCCCTAAGTGCAATATTTTGACCTAGGAACAATATGGACTTAATTATTGGTACTAAACGTTCACGATTTTCTTTGATTTCTTTCATGCGTTGGGTATCAATCATGTTAACTACAATGTTCTTTGGATTCAAATAATTTTTTTTGAAGTAAAAAGCAAATTGAACACAGTTTTTATGGTAAAGATTATTTTGATGGACTTCCAAATAACCTTGTTTACCCAATAACTTGAAATATTGATCCAATGGCTGAGTAATTAGTCTCTTTAACTGTTCTATACTCCCTATTCTAAAAACGGGACAAAATGCTTCCCGTTCAAAGTTTATCGTACAACGGGACATAATAATAAAAAAGGGACAATCCCGTTTTAAACGGGACGTATGGTCACCCTAATGTATTCTGATAATCAAATTAGTATTGATCAAAACAAAATACCGTATACATAACAATGGGTTAATCTTAAATTCATGTGCTATTTCTCTATTTCTAAATCTGAAACACTGGAAACTCTTGGCTCGATAAATTAGGTAGTAGGGGCGAGACTAGAGTGTTTATCATCTGTATTTATACAATTATGCATCTTTGTACTTATGAAATTTTTTCATTACATTATTTCTTCATATTTAATCTATCTCTCAGGTGTTTCCAAATTTTTGGAAAAAATCTTAAATTACTTACTTTTAAATTTAGCAACAAAAGTAATATTAAGAACTATATATGTATCCCTCAATTATCAACTATACCAAAAGCGTTTGAAACGATAATCACTAAAAATATCTAATTTATTTTTTAATTTAGGTTATGATAAAAAACTATCCATCAATTACATAGTTCTCTTTTAAAACATTCAATACAAACAAATTTATTATTATTCCAAAACTTCCTAACAAAATCTATAGATAAAGGTTATCAAATAGATATCATTAATCCTAACTTAATGTTTTGGTGAAACAAGTCACTCAACAATTTTTTAAACCCTCGATTGTATCAAACAAGCAGATTTTGGATAACGCTGATTATAAAATTTAAATTCATAAATCCAGCATTTAAATTTGATAATATATTTTTTTCTAATCATTTAATGAAATTTATTGACAACTCACCATATGTGCTACTTGAAATTTTTAATGTAGGAGGCTATAATAGTCTAGATATAATTAATAACTTCTGGTCTACAATAAGAAAAATCATTGCTGAATAATATTTTGTATAAGATTAAATATACAATAAATACTTTATTATTATATAAATTTATGTAATTTAATCCATACATGATAGGCAAGCATGCATTTTCGATGGAAATATTTTTAAATATTTATATTAAATATTTGAGTATTATTTTATTTTCCAATGTTTTCTTTTAGTATAAATATAAATGAAAAATTTACTAAAACAATCATATTTTTATCAATTAAAAGTATTAGGAAAATAACCTTTTGAATTCTTTTAGTCGTTTAAATTAAATAAATTTCTGTGAAAATTTTAATGTATCGTCATTGTAAATCCAATAATTCATTTTAATATAATAGTTAAATTATAATAGTCTTAGTTACAATTAATATAAGTATTTAAAAGAAAGGAATGCGTATACAGTTAGATATAATGGTTATTGCAATGAATTGGAATAATTTTGATGATATTTATCTCTTCCTTGGCATATTTATGCGTTTTTTACGTTGTATATGCAGCTTCAGCTATATTTATTATAATTGACGGATAAAAATGTCGGTATACTTAAAAAAGTGTTGGTTATTAAAAAGGTTATCTAATGTAAATGTATTTATTACAATATCTTTTATACTTAATCATTTACGTATGCATATTTATTTGTTTAGGAACAACCTATGGAAATTTGCTGCTCTTAATGACCTAAGTATAATAAATATGTATAAATATAATTTATATCTAAAATTTCTTTTAAAAGTCAGCTATAACAATTCCTATACTTCGATATTAATTCATTTTTAATGTATTTCTCAGTTAAAATAATTTTAATTCTATATTCTATGTATGTGAAATAGCCGTCAGCAAAATATTGATAGAATTAACAGTCATCAAGTGTTGATAATATTATTAGATTAATAAAACTAAAAATAGATATGCTGTTATAGAATAGACACGTTTACCTATTCAATTTTGTTATATTAGTAACATTCAAAAATGAACACTATAAAAATTTTAAAAATAGTGCTTTAAAAATTTGTCATCCTTATTAATATGCTGCTATATACGCTTTCTTTCTTTTCGCTTTTTATAAACCAATAATTATGCAATAAATTATTAGAATTTATGTAAATTATTTTTGTTCATAAAAATTTGTTTCATTAAATAATGATTTGATACTGCAATACAATAACTAACGGTGTTCATTCTTGTCGCCACCTTTGGTCTACAATTTACGAAGACTAGTCTGCGCGATATCATGTTACTCAAAAATTCTACCTTCCCATCGTGTTTCAATGCACTGCAGCTTAGCCGACGGTTACAAAAGCTTATTGTTGTCCTTTTTCGTCTTTCATGCATATTTATAGTTTTACTTTATATTTTCACATTCATAGCCACATAATATAAATAAAATGAAGACCGGTCATTATAGTCAAAAATAAAATGACATACTCGTATGCAATAAACGAGTATATACAAATTATATTAATATAGATATATTCATATGATAGAGTTGAACTCTTGAACTTGACGGACTTATGGAAATCAATCAGTCAGTGCGTGCATACCTGCATATATTTTTACGTAAAAACTGTCGCAGTTTTTGTGTCTAGTGATTTTTTTTTTTTATTACTTGTTCGTAACTTTAAAATGCCTAAAGTAAAAACACTAATAAAAAGTTGTTTACAGATATATGCTAACAAGCATAAACATATTTTTAAAATCAATGGTTCAATTTTTTATTACAATATTTGTGAAATTTTTTTTTTGATTTTATTTTAAGTGGATATTTTGTAGCATATTACTGCATTTTTGGGGCACATTTTGATGATCTTTGGTGCATACAAATCCGTTCCCTAATAATCATTTTTGCAGCGCCTGTGCCAAAACGGTATTCGTTTGTTATTATTATTATCTGTTGTCTTTATTTTTATAATTGTAATCGTGTCGTATTGTCATTAAACCGATCGATCGAAGAAAATGTTACATTTTATCATAACAATACTTATCCAATAATTAATATTATACATGTTTAGTGTCATACACACATCTTAGAATTTTGTATTTATACCCACAGAAAATCCATGAACACTATTGTAATTTCAGTTGTTAGACGAAACGCTAATTAATAGGTGTCAACTAACATTTTGGTAGTAGAGCATGGTCATTATATGTTTAATTTAACTGTTTGTGGTTAGTTTTAGGCAGCACACTTCGTTAAGGAGTGTACATCGACCGAAGATCAGCTTGCAGGGTTCAGGGAGATTCTCCGACAGGAAGAAGCTCGATTTGAAAATGGTTAAAATTTTAAAAATTAATATAGGCCAATGTCGTGCGGCGCACGATTTGATGATGGCAACTGCATCACAAATGGAAGCAGAAGTCATACTAGTATTCGAACCTAATAGAACCCTTTGTAATGGTCTGGATAGGAATTTTATGGACCAAGGTGGCAGGGTGGCGGTAATTATCACCAATGATAACTTACTTATCACGGAAGTTGGCCTAACAGATACACTTGGTTTCCGGTGGGTCGCGATTGATGGTGTAAGAATATATCTTGCAATTGGCCACCAACAAAGAATAATGCAGACCTTGATTTGTTCGTTAACTTTTTGAATGGACTCGAGTTGAGTGTTAAAAGCGCCGAGGGTCCCGTAATAGTCGCAGGTGATTTTAATGCGAAATATCCGATATGGGGTGGAACTAGCGAGGACAAAAAAGGGCGACTACTCACCGACTTCATGGCCTCCAATGGATTGATCACCTGCAACAGTGGAGATAAACCAACATTTATTAGAGTCTTAAATAATGGGGTGTCGAAGTCTTATATCGACATCACTTTTATATCTAATATGCTAAGCCGGGCGATGCATGAGTGGACAGTCCGTGATGACTGCTCTATGAGTCTACACCAATATATCTTCTTTACAGTTGAGCTTAGACCAGAGCTGCCCATTCGGCCGGCAGTCACAAAACAATGGACGTGGAAGAAGCTTAATCAAGCTAAGTTGCAGGCTTTCCTGGTCTCGTTAGATATTTCACCGGTAGAAGATGCTCAATCAGGAGCCCAAATCCTCTCTGAGCTTCTCAAGAGCGCCTGCGACAGTTGTATGCCTAAGGGTAAATATATCTGGGGTAAAAAGCCTACATATTGGTGGACTAAGGACATAAATGACCTGCGTAAACAGTGCTTAAAAGCTCGCAGAATCTATAAACGGAAAAGTCGTCGAGAACATCAAAAGGAAATCGAGGAACTACGAGTGGCGTACAAGGTAGCTAGACGCAATTTTAAATTGGCTATCAGAGCCAGTAAAAATAAATGTTCGAAGGAATTATGTGCACAGGTGGATAACGACCCACGGGGAGTACCCTACAAGATCATTACAAAGAAGTTGTTCCGAAGGAAACCGATTCCTGAGTTATCAATCCCAGGTTACATTCAGAACATAGTGGATACTCTGTTTCCGGTGATGAAGCCTGCTAAATTGCTGACCCCCCAATGGTATCAACTTTTCCAGAGGTTACTTGCCAAGAAATAAAAGAGGCTAAATTCAAAATACCAACAGGCAAGGCTCCAGGTCCTGACGGGGTTCCGGATACGATTATTAAGCTGATAGTCGAGCATCGACCTGAGCTTTTAGTAAATGTTTTTAATGTGTGTTTAAGGGATGGAGTTTTTACAATTCCATGGAGAAAGGCTAAGCTGGTTCTTTTACAGAGAGGTTATAAACCGTTAGACCAGCCCTCGTCATATCGGCCGATATGTCTTTTAAATACTTGTAGAAAGTTTCTGGAGAGGCTGATAAAGAACCGTTTAGAGAGGTTCATTGCAGAAAATTGTGAGCTAAATGCGAGGCAGTTTGGCTTTAGAAGAGGCAGATCAACGTTTGATGCTGTTAACTAGGTTATGGAAGTTGCCAATTCGGCAGGAACTGAACCTCAACGCCACATACAGCTTTACACGTTGATCGCATTAGATGTTGCAAATGCCTTTAATTCTGCTCGCTGGGAAAAAATAGAAGAGGCTCTATGTAAGAAAAAGCTCTCAGACTATATGCTAAGGATCCTCAAAAGCTACCTTAGTAATCGAGAACTGCTGTTTGGAGATAGCGATAGCTGTGAAGTTAGTCATGAGGTTACCTGTGGGGTCCCACAGGAGTCGGTCCTTGGACCC